CAACATATAGTTTAAATGAACTTTGAGGAGTTTTTTTATATAAATTGAATATTACATAACCTAAATTAAATTATTAAAATCTATTTTAATCATTAGGCATGTCCTGCTCAAAGCCTCTGCTTCCTGTGATGTCATAAAGGCCATGGCTAATTTGGAAAAATAAATCTGATGCATTGGGTTAAGTCATATTCATGCATTTCTCTATCCGAGGGAGCAGAGCTAAATCCTATAACTAAGGCTGCTTATGTTTCTATTCTTAGCACTTGTTTTCATTCACTCATAACTTCCTAAAATTTGAGGACATAAAGTTTGCCATGCTCAGACCACTAAAAAAGGACTATGAACACTTTGAAAGTTTGAACAAAACTTGTATGAGAAGTATATCAAAGTATAAGAAATAGGTGGAAGTATAAGTATGTATGAGAAATATATCCCAAATCTGAAAGGAAAGAAAATCAAAAGAAATGGTAGTAAAAAAAAAACTTCACGTACAGTGCTGATGCCCTTACTAAGGATGAGTAACAACTTCCTCCACAAACTTCTAATATCAATGGGATTACTTACAGAGTAAGGAGCCATTCATTCTGTGTGAGGTATCAGAATCACACTTTTAGTACAGAAAAAACTTGGCTGAAAAGTGCTTGAAAGTGTTCCCGTGAAAACTGAGTTGGGTTTGATTAACAGTGATCTAGTAAAAAACACTGCAAATGAACACACACAACACTTGCATAGGCTCTTACCAAGAAGTTACACTGAGGGTCTCAGTTACACTCTATAACCACACCCACTGCACCAGGTCTGTTTCTTATTTTTCTGAATTATTTATGGAAAAACTCCAAATATTTCAGGGAACAGGAACAATACTCCTCTATTGCCTAACAATAACCCATAGCCTAAGGGTATGTCTACCCTATACAGGCTAAATGAGTGGTGCAGGGCCAGTTCATGAGCCCACTATGGCCCACGGGCCCCTTTCCCTTCACTTTCCTCCTCTCCCTTTCTCAGCATACCTGATCTGGCAGCTACTCCAGCCAATCTTAGACCTGCACTGCATGCAGCATAGATCCCATATTGGCTGTAACAGGCACCGCATGCAGTGCAGTCAGGTGGGAATGGCAGCCATGTTGCATGTAATGGCCACCCCAATCATACTGTGCCACACGCTCTGGGACACATGCCACACACGGCACCTGCTCCAGCCAGTCTGGGGCCTATGCTGCATGTGGTGCTCACAGGTGCCACAGGCAGCACAGGTCCCAGACCAGCTGG